CTCGTAACCCCTTGTAACCCCTGTAACCCGTGTAACCGCGTAAATCCGAGTCCCGGGGCTTGGTTACACAACACCGGATTTACTATCCCGCAAAGTTTACGCAGTCAAGTACGGGAGGTTTAAAGAATCACCGTCGTACGAGCCACCCCGGCTCCTCCTCGTCTCCTTCTCCCGTAACACCTAGTTATCCTCGGGATTTACTCGCACAGGGACGAGGGTGTGCGCGCGCGCCCGCCGCAAACATCGACGAGAGGATACAGCGCAGGCCGGGCGACTCCCTACGTGGAGCGGGATGCCGGAGGTCGTCGGTCACCGATCACCGATCCCTGGATAGCTGGTCTACACCGCTACGTACTTTGCTTCGTAGGATTTACACTGTTCTTGGCTTTTCGCCCCTTCCAATCGATGCCGCGTCCTCCTGCACTAGCACGGAGAAGCTCGAACCTCGTGTACACTAACTTCCAAAATCATCGTAACCCTTTCGACTTCTTCCTATTTCTTTCCACTCGTGTCTCGTTTCTACCTCTTATTAACTATTCGATTCTAACTCGTAGATAGTCTCCATCGCGATACGAATCGATGATCGTATCGTGCAAGGATCGCTAGTCTAAGTAATCAGAGTTAGAAGAAGCAGATTTCTTTTCATATTTGACGCTAATCAATCGATATCTATGCTGTCTCTGATACTAGCTCTTCACCAACACATGGCACATGCGTGTCACGAGCCAACACGCGGCTTCCTCCTTCCAAGACTCGCGAGTCGCATCGTTTCGCGATCGATCGTAGATCTATCCTCGTCGCGCGAGTAGCTTGGACGCGCGGAAACTTTTGATCGGTAATGTATGTTCGAGAGGGAGAGTATCGACGAACTTGGCGTCGACGGCGGCGGCAACGGCGACGCCGCTCTTCTTCGAAAGATTCCCTCCGCCTCGCGTAAATTGTACGGGTATACTTACCGTCTCGACTTCGGACGACGGCGCTGTACAATAGCTCCAAACGAGAGCAATTTCCCCGTCGTTTATTAGCGGCGAATCAAAATGTTCCTCCGCGGGGCGCCCGAGTAAATGGCGACGTAACGAGGGACTCGGAATTTTATCGCGTAACGCGATACTGCTAGCGAGGAATTCCTAGATTCCGGCGGACGGTTCGCGAACGATCGTACCTGCACCGGAAGCGAATTCCGGCGGGATCCGGATTCGCGAAAGTATTTCAAGTTATTGGACCCAGCTGCGACGCGGTCGTTGCTCGCTCTCTTCCGGAAGCGCGCCGGAAGGGAACACGACGGGTTCGGGGCCGACTACGCCGAGCGGAACTCCCGCGCTGTTTCCGTTCCGACGCTCGCGCGACTCGCGGATCGGCAATTGCCATCGGTCGACCAAGCGATAGCAATTCCACTGTTTCTTGATACCTTTGCAACTGGAGACATCAATCGGTGTTTTCTGTTTTTCGAATCTGTATGTAAAATGGTGTCTAATAAATTTGACTGAATACCTTTGAATAAATTACAAGATATAAGATGCGGAGTGGCTGGGAACAAGCGTGGTAATAATTTTGAGTGATTATTGATAGAATATATTTAAGGTCTTGAAAACAAATATCTATTCCCGAGAGCGGCGATCGTACAACTGGCCGAAAGTCACCTCGGATTATACTCGAAAACAAACGAAGATCACTTCAGCGACTACGCACATTTCTCTGTTTCAAATAAATAAATTATTATATAGATTCGAAAGTCTACACGCAACGTACCTGTAAAATGCTCGGTTCCGACGGCTGCCAAAAATTCGTTTGCAAATGAAAATTACGATCATCGCCCGGTGTGTAATAAGAGGTAACGATGATTCGCCGCTTCTTCGCCAGATTAGCCAGCTATTCAATGTTCCTGATCCTGCAACCCTCGAGACAACACTCGTTAGCGGAGCACAAATTCGGCGTTACCCCGTGTAATCTATTCGTAGCTTCATAGTCGTTGGATGCAGCGTTGGCTTACCGTTGTATCCTGTGGCTGATTATTATTAATAGGCTGTACGCCTAAAGAGGACCTTTAACCCGTCATGCTCCTGGATGTCTGCCGTCGTGCTCGTCGGAGACGAACCTCCGCAACGATCCGAGCTAACATTGACGAAATTTTCCTTGATATCTCCATGTTCTTTCCATCAATTACAAGCTTGTCCAAGGAAGACTCTTAATTGGTAGACTAACACCAAAACTTGACCGACGGAACAGTGATGCGTTCGCTGGAATAGTAAAACCAATATGTCGAAGCGTATTATATTCACGATGGACGAATATCCATTTCGTCCATGTATTCGTTGCTTTATTCTCCCTCAAAAATCCTGCCATTTCAGTCAATTTCGTTCAATTTGTGGATGGGTTTTTAATTTCAATTTTTAATAGAACGCGCGAGAAATGATCAACCCGGTAACTGTACACGGACGTATCGCGGAGAGTTATCATGGCCCGGTGCCGAATAAAAAACAGCTAGATACGGTCGTGTAACGCGGGAGCCTAGAATAACTGTCATCTCGAGCAACACGTCGTAAAGCACGTTTCACCGAATCTCTGAGCCAACCGTTCCACGAACTCGTGATTCATCGGGTAATTGTTATTCTTAGAGGCGGTGGTTTACGGACATTCCTCTTTTATGTACATACCGTGCTCTGTGTCGATCTGTTTCACGCTCGTATACGTTCGAACGCGGCTGTGGTTGCGCTATCAACGCCGGCCAAGCACAAACAATTCGTTCCCCGTGCGAGTCGAGTTACGACGACGAATAGAGCACTCTCGATAACCGCGACTTGGACTGGTCGGTCACGTTCGCGGAACGAAACTAACGCGTTCACTGTTATCACGAGAAACTAAACTAATGTTCGATGTATCGCTTATTCTCTCATAGTAAAGGTGAATACAGACGATTATTAATTATTTTAGTATCATAATTCTCATTGTGATCTAATTACTTCCGTTATTATTCCTTTGTAAAATTATAGTGTGTAGACTTTATTTCTATTAGTTGATTATTTATGTACGACCGGCGCAAAACCCAGCCGTACATCTGCGAAGGCGAGTTTTGGCCTGTTAATGCATCATAGCGGCAATTAGGCTTGGCCTGCTAATATTTCGCTTGTAGCGTCATAGGTCAGGAATATAGTGGCGCTAATATGTAAGAGTACAAGCTAGTGCCATAAAGGGAAAATCATTTCTCTTGCACTCACCGACGCCGCCGAAGAAAATGCACACGCATTGCTTAGAATTTTAAGAAAGTTTAGTTTCGGTTAAAAAACCGGTGCATAACGCTGAAATTCCGACGACAAAAATACTTTTTCTCTGTATCAAACTATACACTTAATATTCCAGCTTTATTAAATATACATAATTTAATTAATTATTCTCAGGAACACTTTCTTTGAACCCCCAAGTTAACATCCTACTGTAGACGGTTCGCCCTTTTGCGTGTCGATACTTGAGGGCCTGAGAGATAGTCCAGGCCCATTGACTAATTTATGACCAAGGGGACCACCATGACCTGGGTCACGTACGCCCTCGTCTGAAGAGTTTTCCTTTTTAGAAAAGCAACTGAGGAAAAGCAGTTAGTCGCCGTTCCTCGTTAGAGCCATATCGCGTAATAAATATATTTAACCTGACTACGGACTTAGTTTTTATTTTAGTAGCCCTACACTACAAATATATGTTTTATGTTCTAAATAATTTTGTTCCTCGAGATACGTGCGATTTCTCTTCGAGTTTCCAGTAAACAATGACCACCATAAGAAACAAAGCGTCGAGACTCTTCCGACGAGTCCCGAAAACCAGCAGCTCCGTTTGATCTGTTGAAACGTAGCCAGTCGTTTATCGCGAAATTGCGTTCGTCTTTCACGCGTCGAGATTCGAATCGAGGAAAAGAACAGTCCCCGATAACTATAAACCCGGCGTGCTCCCACCACGGCGTTTCATTAAACTAATGGATCCCGATACGCGGGAAGTAGAGGACATCGCGGAGCTTGCTTCGAAACGCGTGCACGATCGATGCGATGGAAAAAAAGCCGCGAGAAGATTAAAATCGTGATGCCCGAGTTGACGCCCCTCTCCCACGACGAAAAGAAAGTAAATTGCAGGTTCGCCGGGAGCGCGGATCCTCTCTGAAAATAAAGGAGACGCTTTCCGCTCAGCCCGATGCCTCCGCAATATCCACTACTCTTAACACTGTAGCGCCGGGCAACGAATAAACCGCGAGAGCCTCGTAACGAGTCGATCCAATCGACCGGGCAACTATTAAATCTATAACAAGAAATTTCAGGATCGAACGCCCAAAAGGATTAGGCTTTGTCGCATCGATAATAGCGGGCCGAGCTTTTTCCGCGCGCGAAATTAAAGTAGAAATTCCCCGTCACTTCGTTGCCCCGAAAATGCTCGGATTACGCGCCGGTCGCCGCGATAAACGCTTAATTGCGGGAATAAAGTAAGCTCTCGAGCGCGACCCCATCATCGAGCAAAATGAAAAGTTAAATCGGATTTAAAAGCCTTTCTCGGAAGCAATCGCGCCGTTTCTAGGCCGAGGTATTTTAATTAACGGGATATTAAAATATTCATCGTCGCCTATCCCAGGGAACACCTCGCAGACGATCCGTGGTATCGCGACCGAGATCGAGCAGGAGAAAGGAAGACGGTTCCGTCGTGTCCGTGACGAAACGCAGACCTCACGGCGAATTTCCATGCTGACGGCGGCATCGCGTGGCAGGATTTCTGCTTCTCTTCGCTTGTTCGCCGTGTAAGTTCATGTCGTTGTGTACATAAACAGCGGCCGCGTTACCCATAACGACGGTTAATTCGGTATGGAGTCTTGGTGCTGCAGTGGATGCGGCCCACGCCGGATGCGTCTTTCGTCGGCTCCCGGTAGCTCGCGATCATCTCCTCGTCCACCCACGAATCCTGTTGCTCGTTATAACGGCAGCCAATGACCGAAGCGGTTGCGACCCGACCGTCTTAGTCCGCTAACCGCGTTCGACAGAGCTGGACTCGCGATTCGCTCGTCTGGATCGTTTCGGTGGCGATCGCGCAGACGAAGGCTGAAGAAACCTGAAGAGACCGGTGAATACTAGCAGGGAAGAGGAGAAGTTGGTCGAGTCGCGCGGCATGGTGCACTACGGGTGCACGAAAACCGATAGCGGTGGAATCGAGTGCTTCGTCGAGTTCAGTGAGACACCGAGATGCTTTGCACCGTTCTTTCTCGTTGTCGCTGCGCTTTCGAGTCAGCGGAGGCGGCGGTGGGTCGTAACGCGAAAACGGGAACGACGAAAACTTTCGTTCTCGCGGCCAGCTGCGCGAGCATCCGAAACAATCGCTTTCCGTTTGATCGTGGACCCGTGAAACGCCTCCGTTCGCGATTAGCCCCGCTCGCGTTTTCGCCAATCTTCCGCCTCGCTGCACCCGCGAAGACGCTTCCGTTGATTTTCAGCTTCCGCCCCGGCAACACGGCTTATCGCGTTCTTCCGAATCAGCCGAAAAGGACCGGCGAAAAAGGGATTCCTTTCGCGCCGGTTGCTTCTTTGTGCGCGGCGTCGCGTGAATTCTCGAATAAAGGAATATTGTTAACCCCTTGCCTGCGATGACGAGTGAGATCAATGTTTTAGCTTAAAAATAAATGTACGCTTCCGTCAGGGAGGTTACTTCTTTCTGTAGGAAGCGAGAAAAGTTAAATAGAATATTGATGTATTTAAGAAGTTACAAAGAGCATATCAGAAAAAAATCTCCAGCATTCATGGAAAGTGACTTAAGACTACTCTCTTAAAATGAATATGTAACGCGGCGTGATTTCGCGACGAAATCGCACACCTTCGAGAAACATCGTCAATGGTCGTCGAACAATCGGCGACTGCTTCTGACTGATCCACCGTATTTGCATTTTTGTAGACGATTAATAATGAAATAAATCTAATAAGACAGAATCTAATAATAGATCTAACAGAAATAATCTAATAATAGAGACAATCGTAGGGCAAGTGGTTAATTGCTCGGCGAGTCACAGCTGTCCAAGCTGTCGACTTTTGGAAAGCAATTTCGTTCTTTCCGTTCGCTATCTTTCTTTTGAACGTTCTTCCTTTCTCTTACCGCTTTGCTTCTCTTTTCGATCGTGACGTTCGCTCATCGCCAACGACAGAAGAATCGGCAGCCCGTAGCTCCCAGATGCCGGAGGAAAATACGGTGGGTGCGACGACGAGATTCGTCGAAATTATGGCGATCATAGGATCGTTTCTCCTGGTCCTGGTTACGTTTCCGTTCTCGTTGTGCTTCACCTTCAAAGTCGTGCAGGAGTACGAAAGAGCCGTTGTCTTTCGAATGGGGCGTTTGAAAGGAGATGCTAGTGGCCCAGGTAGCGAACTTCATTTTCAATGTTCCTTGCTCATCTAACCGATACGTTTCCATTGCTTCATACCACATTACCGATTAGCACTAAAACTACTCAGCAATCAAGTTATGTGTTTCTGTTCGCCTAATATATAGTGGCGTTCAAAGATTCTCGGTCAAACATTTTTTTATTAATTGAGTCCATGCCACACAAGTCTAAACGCTAAAACACTTAGGCAAAATACCAAAACGTGTCATTTCAACAGCGAAAATAATCTTCCCCGATAAACAGTTAATTTCCGAAACATAAAATCGCTGCATTTCCATTGATAGGTACATTCTTTGTGATGCCTTGCGTCGACAACTGCGTGCGCGTCGACCTAAGAACCGTATCTTTCGACGTGCCACCACAGGAAGTCCTCACCAAGGATTCCGTGACTGTGACCGTCGACGCGGTCGTCTACCACCGCATAAAGGAGCCGCTGAACGCCGTTGTTAAAATTGCCAATTATAGGTACCCGCCTCTATTATCTTTACGTTTGCATTTTCGCAGTTTCATTTTCGAGTTTCGGTTATTGATTTTCGATTTTCAATTTCCGTTCAAAACTTTCGGTCGAACAACCTTCCCGTTGCTTCGCTGCGTCGACCGAATCGTTATGTGTATTCTCGTTTAAAAATTAGTTTGCGGACGCGGACGCTTCACTCGACGTTCCGAAACTTATAAACTGTGCAATGGAAGCGGCGTTCTATATGCCGGAGATTCAGAAACGCATTCACAAAATTAGAAGCGATCGGTATACCGTGAACAAGCGGGACTCTATCGATCCCCGGAATACCGTGAATTAATTGATCTTCGTTACTTCACACGTAGCCGAGCTAATTAACGTGGTCGCGATTTTCTGAAATTTTAATTAGCATCTCGGGGACCGTATAGTTGCCGAGAGGGACGATCTTGTTCCGTCTCGAGAGCGAATCAAGGATGGAGGAGAAAAATGCGAAGGACGGCTTCTCGAGGGGTTACGAGGGCGTGATGAAATTACTTGAATAATTTGTGCCCGTGCCGAGCGAAAGGCGCTAGCGACTCGATTAGTTCCCGTACAAGCTGTGCAACCTTATCTGCTCGAACGGTTCGCTTTCCTCGATGTTCCCTGCCGTTCAAATACGAAAATCAACCGCGCGATGCACGTGTAAAATTCCGTTCTCGGAAGAATCCATTGAAAATGAGAAATTTCAGTTACACTTTGAACCGACGTTTACACTTTGTTTTCTTAGAGCCAAGTGAAAAGCGGTTCGAAGAAGTATTATAAAGAAATATTATAAAACCTATAACTCGAGAGATCTTTTCTCTGTGAAAGAGTAATTCCAGAAAGGAAGTTCTCTGATATTTAGACACTCGGATATATAATCAACCGTACCGACAAACATTTTCTACTATCGTCGAATGAAATCAAATCAATCAGGTCCGAAATCCAATTCAGTCCGACGCAATCCAATTTAATTCAATTAAATAATGAATTTCATTCGATTCCATACCGAAGAAACGAGTCGGCGGAAATCAGCGACCGCGTATTCGAACGCCGATGATCGATCGTTGCTTTTCAGTCATTCCACTCGACAATTGGCTGCCAGCACGCTGAGAACGGTCCTCGGGACGAGAAGTTTGGCCGAGATCCTGTCCGAACGCGAGACCATCTCTCACACCATGCAGACATCTCTGGACGAAGCCACGGAACCTTGGGGTGTCAAGGTTGAACGCGTGGAGATGTGAGTATGCGCGGCGAACTTGCCGGAAGCCGTGTTTCTCGCGTCCCCAGCTTCTTCGGATTCCCAGGGTATCCGTGAACGGAACAGATGCGAGTGAAACGCATCGTATCGCGATTCGTTCGCAAACACCTGTTGAGATTTGGCAAATATATCGGCGACTCGGAGCACACGACATTGAGAATGCGGTAACGGATCGTCGAGCGGCGCGCATTCAAAGTTTATGGAATCAAAATATTTGAAAGATATCGTTGAGACAAGGATCGAATTGCGAAGATTCCAGATAGTCGACCTGAAGTTCGACCACGGCTTAAACGGTGCTTCGAATCCTTTCGATTTAGCTTTAACACTAGACTTTCCAACACTTCATGTTTATTTATTCGTACCGTAACTAGATAGAATGACCGGTTCTTTAATACTGGATTTATGAAACCCGCCAATTTGACGAATATTAAATTTTTTAAACATTATATATTAACAATTTAACATTAAAACTACGGAGCAGTTAAATAGACTTTTTGGAATTTCTTTATAGGAACTCGAAGAGTGCATGTATTGAAACTTTAATTTATTTACAATTCAGTGTGGATATTGGTAAATCAATTATTTAATAATTTCTCGGAAAAACATCTGCTATCTGTTTAATAATTTCAAAGGGGAGAAATCAGGAATGGGTCATTTTGACCCACCTGGTAGTTTTAGTGTTACATCAATTTTTACGAATGCCGTTATGCGAATAAGCTTTATAATGTTCTGTCCTTGAAACACTAATTTCTGCAATGTCTATAAAATAACATGTAACCCTCCAGGAAGATTAATTTAAATCTAGTGTTAATTTTTATTTTATTCGCCTTTTTCAAAATTCCAAAATCTAAATTATGATTAATAGGTTTCAGATCTTGGTAATGTTAGGTCTTCTAGGAATGATAGAATAAAGTGTAGAATAAGTGTATTCTTTGTGGTATCAATGTTCCTGATACCTACGTGTACCATTCGGAGCGAAAGGGCTAATGTTAAATGCGCCCGAACGCCGAGTATAAGTGAGAATTTAGGGATCGTGGTAAATAAACTCGAGAGGAAGAGCTGCGCGATGCGCGTATTGCGATCGTCAGCAGTTGATTTCACGGGAAGAAAAATAGCCGACCTATCGATCATCGCTGGACGAACGAATGCTCGACGTATACGTCGCGATTATTATCAGTTCTTTCGCGAGGAAAACGACTTATCTCCTCAGCGCCGTCGGAATACACCGAAAGTGTATTGCGCCCCATCGACTACGCTCCGAAAGGATCTTCCGCGAAATATATGTACTATTGAGAAGCATCCTCCTGAATACGTCGAAATCGTTCGAGCTCCGTTATTGCGCGCGATATTGCAAAAATTTTCGAGGTTCCCTGATATTCTCCGCCAGGCGAATCTCTTCTTAACAGTCTCGATGTTCTCGCGCCGTAACGCAGCGGAAAATAAAACCGTCAATTCGAATATTGTATTCTCGATTCTACGTTAACTTCTATTTAACGTTCCACTGAGAAATATGTCCCGTATCACAGCGCGCCGATCGAGTACCGACAACATCCCCGATAGATCTCGACGCGATAATTCGACGGTGCTCGAGGTTGTGCATGCGAATAGCTGCATCTATACGTTTTGAACACCGTCGAAAAATTCAAGTGGACAACGTTTCGCGTGCTATGGAAGTAGCTGGATCGATCGATCGATCGCGATACATTTAGTTTCCTTTTTCTCTTCCGAACGGAAGAACGCCAGAAAAAGAAGGGATTCGCGCAGCTTCGATTAACGCGCTGAATGCCATGGGTGTCACCGGTAATCGCTTGTCAAATCGGATTACTGTAATTCACTGGGCTAATCATTATTTGAAAACTTTTGTATACTTCAATCCAAAGTGATAGCATTCGACAAGATATGCGAGCAGTAATGAGAACGCAACTCCATTGAATAATTTAACCTCTTCAATGATACTGACACATACGTGTACATTTGATTTTAGTTTAACATTAATGTCCATCGAAAGGACATTCGTTATTTTCGAATGTTTCTCATAACCATCTCCGCCCGTCTTCGTATCGTCCGATTCGTGAGAATTTGAACAAAATAACTACAGGAAAACGGAAACTAAGACCATCTTTGTCGGTTCTCGAGAAGAATTCGGCCCTGAAGAGGTTAACACTAAAACTACCGAGCAATTAGAGTGACTTATTTCCAATTTTTATAAAAGTTAAAATACATTTCTTGAGATTCGAAATGTGTCCTAGTTTTGTGTCTGCGCAAATACTCGAATTTAATTGGATATCTTTCGCAAAAACGCATTCATAATTAAAATACTGGTAAAATAAACATTCTGAAATGGGTAAATTTAACCCGTCCGATAGGTTTAGTGTTAATACAATACACTTCGCATTCCGTGTATTTTGCTCCGGTAAATCGTCCGGCAATTCAACGTGTTAAAGATACAAAGGGAAATAAGTAGCACGAGGATGGCGACGATGACGACAACTACTCGAGGGAACGGGCGGGTGCCTATAGCTGACGGGTACGTGGACGCGCATAAACGCGGACACTCGAGAGTAGCTTCGGCCCCTCGTCGGGCTATCGAAAAAAGCTATCGAAGAGCCCTCTGGTCTCGACTTCGATCTCCAGCCACCACCGTCGCGTGCTTTCAAAGTCGAAGAAAACTCGAGTGCTTTTGAAAATGGCGGTATGAGAGAGGGAGGACGGGCGATGCGCGCGTACTAGAGGAACCAGACGCGCGTTGTCGCGTCGAGAGTTCTCCGGTGCCCGGCACCCAACATCCGGCACTCATCGTTATATCGGATGTCTATCGCGGTATCCGATACGCGTAAAGGGATGTTCGGAGGACGCGTACCTGTGCCAAACTCGGCGTTATCGCGAACAATGCCCTGGTAACATGCATGTGTTAAGGGTACTCATGAGTAATCAAATATTTTCAATAAGAAACTAAATATGATCGTTTAATTATATTTTTATTTATCTGATTAATTACATGTTCATCATTATCTATAATCTTTCGCCATCTTCTTGGTAAATTTTCTATTCTTGTCTTTGAAAAATCTGCTGTTGTGTTAGGTCACTTTGACGGGTACTGAATATTTTAAACATTATTTAGTAACAGTTTAAGCCTACTTTGATTCGTGCAATTATGCGAATACGTATTGCATTACTCTGATTTTGAAGCTGCAATTTTCGCAATGTATATAGACGAACGCGTAATTTTCTAGCAACAATAGAATCAAGTGTAGAGTAAACGTCCGTGAGTATAGTGTTCAAAAATATGTTTGGATGTAAGTCTTGGCTTCATTGTAGTTTTGAAAATTTGTATTGTAAAGGCAATGCACCATAAATCTGAATAAGTGATAATCTGGTGGCGTTATATCAGGTTAATATAAACATGCAATGCCGTGTGTGTTCTTCAGTAGATTAATATTCAGCCATTTTGTTTCAGTATAATTTTTCTTTATTATCCGGTTGCAAACTATAAATTCACATTCAAACTTTACAAAATATCATGAGAAACCCGTCCTGACTAATAAATATATTTAAGTCGTCTTAAATCAACTCAGCTATCTAAAAAAGGCTGACGACTATTGAGTAGCCCTAAATATCTGTCGTATCGAATATTCATTTCTAACATTCTTCGCTCGTCGTGCTAAGATTCGTTTGATTTTAATTCTTTCAATTAACCCTTAACGCAAGACCTTACAATTTATCGAAACTCTCTTTGTATCATCGACTTTTAACACGTCGACTGTCACGAGAATCTTGAGAGTTTTATATGTTGCTTATTCTTCCGTAGCAAACTAAATAGAAACAATTATTAATCATTTGACATCACAATTGTTACTTAACATTATTATCTAATTATTTATGCTATTACACATTTTCATACGGCGTCAATCATCTTACATATTGTGATTGTTCTCGAGCAATTTGTCGGTTATCGGTGACCACCGTGGCAGTTAACGTACTAAAGAATTTGGGATGTCTTCATATATCTCCTAATAATGTTCCGATATCCGATAGTCGACAAATTCTACCGATGGTAATGCCACTTTATTTCTACACATGCATTCCGTAAATATCAGTTGGAAACTACACAATAGGTATCGGCACGAGCAAATACTTCGTTGAATCGGTCCCACGTGAAACTTCTTCCTGAATGCGCGAAAAAGAAAACGCACACCTGAATTTCAATAAGTTTATAAGCCTGAACACCGTTCTTTGTGAATTCGGCGCGGCCCGTGATTACGCCGGCACGGTGAGCGTCGAAGGCTTGAGCAGCGCCGACGTCTACCGAATAAAAGAACGTAAAGAACTCGCCAAGTGTATTTTTATTCCGGTCGAGTGCAACCGGCTCGGGAAGCCCGCGTTTTTTCACCGCGACTCGAAGCCACCCCTAAATACGCATGACACGGCGCAGAGTAAACGAGGGCGTGAAACGCGAAACTCTTGAGCGTCAGGTATTCCTAGAAATTGAGGCAATAATCGAGAAATTTTTTTAACCGTCGCGTTAGCGACTTTTCTCGAAAATACGAAGAACGTGGCTGCAATTCGATTTTCCAAGAGCAAAACGCACGGGATTATTTAAACATTTACGAATGTTCAATGATAGTGCAACACGCGGTAGGAAAAGATAGCGATTATAATAATTGAACTGCAGAGTTTTTATACGTTTATGCAAAATGTAAAAGTGCAAAACTGCGTAAAATGCACGAAGATATTGCGTAAAGATCTAATAAGAAGGAAAATATTACAAACACGGATGTTTTGGTGATCCAAACGCGCGTTTCAAATTTAGAAAAGACGTTCGACTTCCGGTGCAGCTGCAACGGGCCATGGCTACGGAGGCGGAAGCCGCGAGGGAGGCCAGGGCGAAGGTGATAGCAGCCGAGGGCGAGATGCTGGCGTCTCGAGCTCTGAAAGAAGCCAGCGACGTAATCTCTACGAGTCCGGCAGCCCTTCAGGTAAATACTTCTGCGTCTTGAACCGTCGCGTCGCGAAACAACAAACTTATTCCATCGGCGTGTTTACTTCGTTTTCAAGTTATCCGATTCGGAGCAGTTTCGGGAACGATTCGTCGATCTCCGAGATTACACATGTGCATCAAGAGTCGTCGTTACAATCGAGCAAAAACTGATCTAATTCTCCCAAAAGCACAGGACACACTGTTTCCGTTGTATAATACGTTTGAATTTGCAGCTACGCTACCTGCAAACATTGAGCAGCATATCGGCGGAGAAGAATTCGACCATCATCTTCCCGGTTCCAGTGGAATTTCTAGCGTCCTTCTTCAATGGCGGCAACCGAATCGGCTCGAACGCTGATCGAGAGATCGTCCGGACATCCTCGGAACGGCTCACCCCGAAACCGCTCGAACTTCGATCCGACGGCTGTTCGCCGTGCGTCGGCAACTATCGAACGGAGGGGTAGAATCGAGGGCGCGTGGGACCACTGCAAACCAGATGATCGAGAAACAGTTAAGAACGGAACTTCTCTAACACGAATCCAATCTTCCGACGGACAACCATGATTCTCGTCCGGAACGGATGCTGCGGTCCGTTTCGCTCGACGTTCTCATCGCCGGTTTAACGTAAGGGACGCTCCAAATCGTTTGGAAAAAGGGAAAGAGAGGAATACGAGAAACAGGAACAGAGAAATATTCCTTTCAGCCAGGCTACAGACTGAAGAACCCTATTTCACTTAGACGGAAATACGCGTATACACGTGTAACTGATCAATCCGAATTTGAACACGCTGAACGGTGTGGGGGCCACCAGTGATCTCCACCCAAATTCAATTATTGTAATTCTCTCAATTAAATGATGATTATTTGAAAATAGTATAGTGTTCGCCCAATCCGGGCGGCCAAAAGTCCATTTAAAAAATTTACAGCTATTTACAATTTATTGAAAAAAGAGGAAAACCCTAGGTACATTTTATATCTACCTTTACTTTGAAGAATAACCATTAACATGTTGACTGCAACGAAAAACATCAGCATTTTACGTACCAGTTACACCTTCGTAACAAATATAAATAGGAATAATTATTAATTATTTACTACCACAATTCTTGCGTTACAATATTATCTACTTATTTACGTCATTGAATATTTTTATTCGATGTCAGTTGTTTTATGAAATATAATTGTTCTCAAGTCATTTCGAAGCTCCGATCACTAGTGACCACCGTGACAATCAACGTGTTAATAACAAAAGAACAATCTTTAATTTGAATGGAAAAGCCTTGAGTCATATTTGTGCTTGTCAAATCCATGAGTCTGACGCGTTGTTGTACAGCAAAGTGTTAATACACGGTTCACGAGCAACGCGTACGCGTGTAATAACTACGCGAATCCCTGATTTGTCAATGCCCGTTTCACACGTGCTTTAGTTCGCGAATAGTTGCTGAATCCCGACGAATTAGTCGCGAAGGATCCCGCACGATTAATCGACAAACGGACACGCTCGAATAAAAACACACGGGATCCGTGGGCTTACACACGAGTCACGTCGCGCAAATGAACGGCTCGTAAATTGTAAACTGTAACTCGCGCTGCGAGCGTGGGTAACGCGGGAGATCAAGCGGTCATCGGACAATCCGCCTAGGTTCCTGCTAGGATGTTCGAGCGATATGGCGAGGTGCGTAAATAAGTAGCCTCGCAGGAATTGAAACGCGCGTGCATCGGTGCCGCTCGCGTTTTCACGTCACGTTCCAGGCGTTACAACGTGCCGTGAAAATGTGCCCCGCCGCTGCGTCGCGGGCCCTACCTACGGAAACTTTAAGTCCGGGAAAAGTGAAACGTACGTGCCGCGCCGCGGCGCGTTTATGAAACTCCATAAAACGGGAATTTCATACGCAACGGCACATTGAAATTTACGTTACGAAATGATAACGGACAACATACCCGCGTTTCTTTAATTTTCGATAACGGACCCCGGCCGAGCGGAACGCGAGCGAATTAAACTCGATTCACATCAGCGGCCAACGGTACGCTCGGATCAAGTCGATTCAGAGTCGGTCGTGATCGTTGGCAATGTAAATAACATGCGATACAAGGAATGTAAATTCCACCGGGTTTGAACTGACTGGCGAGTGTGATGTTGACGAACAATTAACAGATAGCAATTAAACGATAGTGCTTCGTCGTTAAAATGAAGATATGAATAGAAATCGGAAACAAATGAAGGTACAGAGTAAAAAATTAGGCTTCCTTGCGACGACCGTGCAATTTACATGAAACTATCGTCTTTTTATCGGAATGTAATCTCCACCTCATATAAGATTTTGATTACGTTATATTTTAAAAACAGAAAACCTTGAGCGGATGAGCAGAAATGATGTACTCGTATTTACGGAATTCGATTGTTCTTAATGGTCGACTAGTCGCGATCTGATCGCATCCTGCGCCGCCAGTGTGCATCGAGCCTTATCCGAGGAAACGGCGAGCCACGCGGTAAATTTCATTTACGTTCGAGCAACCGCGTTAGATTTTTTTGTTCTTCGGTCACGATGAATACGACGGAATTCCTTCGCCGACAGCGCGTCGAGGAGCGACACTCGCCGCTAACGGAAAATGAAACAGCGCAGCGCGAACGAGTAGCTAACGCCAAGTATAAATTTCAATTTTATTGTACCACTCCGGGGGGCGCGCTTCCTTCCGTTTTTAGTGGAACGAAATATCCCGCGTGTAATGCGCGCAAAATGTTTTATAAACGGCGGAGGAGCTTTAACGCGGGTTATTATTTACCTGGGAAATCCTTCGGTGAATTGTTGCGCTTGTTAACGGTGACCGCGACACACGCCCGGAACGACGTAATATTAACCCCCCGCCTTATAACGTCGATCCGGCCTTGTTTCAAATTGCGGTTCCGCTGTTATGAATATTTAAACTGTGCGGTAAGTGTGCGCGCACGACGAACGCGGCATTCGTTTTTCCGCTGAGAGCAATTCTCGCGCTGGTAGTTGTCAAAGAAATCGCAGGCCGACTGATTAAATAGTAAAAAGATTTCGATCACTTCTCGAGCAGGAAAACTCGAATTGAACGGTGTTGCGTCGGCCGCCACGTTTAAGCTCTAGTGGCTCGATGTTCGGTGTTTGAGATGGACCAACATTATAGATCGTAATTAATAAACGCGATGGTCTGTGGCACGCTAAAACCTGCAACGCAAATGTTTGTTCGGTGGATTGAACTCGTACGCTCCGCGTGACGCCACTGCGTGCGACGCAGTCACGAAGGCACGATGATCGGAGTGATTGGAGCTTTCGAGGAAAATGAACGGAGTGGAAAATTATCGAGGAAACGCTTCCATCGTTTTTCTTTCTCCAGCTGCTGAACGTCCAAACGAAGAAACTTGTCGCTTGTTCTCGAGAGAACGAGGCGACGCTTACAAGCCTGCACGCGAAACATTTTCCGGTTTGCTAGCGTGGGTATGGCACGACGTCCGGGACTCTCGACTAATTAATGTCGACGAACAGCAGTGTCCCATTGAAAGTAGGACCGGTATTGTCAAGTTACCGGTAGCAAGGGGTGCTTTTATTCCCTGATCCGGATGAACGCCGAAATGGCTGCTCGCGAGACACGAGCGTTTGCGATTTATCAGAGGAAGAGGGTGACAGAAGGAGGAACAGAGAGCGAGCGCGAGAACGAATTATCCCGCGAGATGCAGGATGCGTTTACGAGCGAAGATCCTTTCAACCGGCCCGCGTACCAGGAATACCGTTCTTCGTCGGAATAACTGGTGCGCGGTTAACGCAAGAAATTACGAGGGGCTCCAATTATGACCGTCGCCAGCAGGAAGCACCGTTGCCCCGTACACACTGAAATTACCGTGGCGAACCCGGCACCGCGTCGAAAGAGATATGGCAAGCGAGTAAAATTCACGGACTCCGTACAATCGACTAGAATCCGTGAACACGAATTCGCTCGTCCCGCGACGATTTACGTGGAAACCTGTAAAGTACCTTGAACGATTTGACAAGAGAATCAAACATCTGCACTCGAGGGATGACCTTAAATCATTACGTGATATAAATTACAAAGTCTTATACATATGTATAATATCGAGCTGCGTTTAATGCATCGGTATGCGAAATATTCGAATAAAATATTACGTACGTTTCCTCGTGAGTTACTATCAAAGAATGTCGTCTGTGCCTCATCGGAAGTCGTCGAATACTTCTAGCGAAAAGCTGGAAATTGCAAACAAAGAGCCGCGCTGAACAAGATTCCCTCGCGCCTCTTCCGCTTGACTTTCTCTGCAATAACCGACGAGCACTTAACGCCGTTTAATATCCAAAATGGCGATTTATCGAACGCACGGGCAAAAAAAGTTTGCTCCCGTTTATCTAGCCACGCAATTCGCCATTCACGATTCGCCCTTTCAGCATCCTGTAATTTCTTGGATGATAATTAGCAACCGCTTGCACCTCGGCCAGCGCGATGTCGACTCGTTGGTTTACGGTTACAATTAAAAATTTTTTAATTTCGCGGAGACCTAGTTCTTCTCCCTCCTCGGTTGCGACCATGGGAAACTCCGAGGAACGCGCAGCCTCCTTCCGTTGTAATAGGCTGTCCGCCATGCCTCAGCGTGCCGCGTCTCGACAACTTTTCGCGCCGGCTCGTTCTTCGGCCATGCTTATTTCGCTGGAGCTCGACGCGAACTTTTCACCCCGTCCGACTCTCCTTTCCTGCCTCGACCTTCCAGCCCGCAATTAATTTTATAGGCGAGAAAATGAACTGCGACGTTCGCGGCGGCGACGACGAGAGAACGAACCTCTCTTCCAACTCGTTCGTCCACAGAGTCGACCTTTTTCTCGCCGGATGTTCCGCGCGGAATCGCTCGTGGCGAGAATCCTAGCCATTCTCCGCGTTGAAAAATAGCCCCGACTCTATTCCTCCTCGAAATAAGCGGTCGTTTCTCTCGAGCACGCGATGCGCCGCGAACGCGCCCCGCTCCCGCGTCATCTGCAACCGCAAATATTGTCTTTGTCGCGTTTTATTTTCGCGTCGGAAGCCCTGCGTTCGAGAAACCGGGACAGCGACGCCACGGTTGGGTTTCTCTCGCTCGGAACGGGGCGAAACAGGGGAGCGGATTGCTCTCGCGCGCCGCTGCCTTATCGTTTCGCGGTTCGATACCTGCACGCCGGAATCGAGATATCACCGGAGAATAATTCTGCCTGGTGAAATTAAGGGATGATCACGTTCATCTTCGCTTAAACCTAGAGGAAGACGTGACTGGCTAAACAATAGAAGGCTGTTGTCGCGTTAGATCGCGACAATCGTATCTTTGATCGGCTTATTTGCCGCGCCTAACCACCTACCCTAATTAAAAGCAGAACCGTGCTCCTTCCAGCCTTGTCCCGAGAAACCTAATAAACTGAATAAACTGTCGAAGGGGGCGATCGATGTTTCGCCGAGTCGAAAACTT